AAACGTCGGATTTGTCTATCGTTAGTTTTTGCCTGTATATGTTTATCTAAATCATTGTTGATTAGAAAACGTCATGTTACCATATATAGGGGCCAAGGGAACACGAAAACACTATATACATGTTATTAAACTGATACAAGGTCCGTGCTGGGGAAATATTGGTCGAGTCCTTTTTTTCGTTGTAAAATTAATAAACGTGAAAAAGAAAAAAAAAGCGTGACCACTATTCTCCAATTTTGAAAAGTTAAATACAATGTTTATTATAACGGCTCTTTTAGGGGTATCGAATGGTATTTACGAGCATTTACGAGCATGCGAGCAGTGCGTTTATTTTTGCGAGTACGAGCTGCAGTGATCACATTTTTCTTGCGAGCAGCGAACGTTTTACAAAATATGGATGGCGAGCAGCGAGCACTTCGTAAATTTTCTGCTGGTTGGAATCTCTCTTTTATTAAAAGGAAACGTTGTTTTGCGCCAAGCAATCTGGCTGACGCCTTCAAAACAGGATACTTGATGGGCGAGAACGCGGTTCAACCAATCCCACCAGCTTACATCCAAATTACGTCACGTAGCTTCACGAGAGTAAGTGAGCTTCTAAAGCTTTCTAACCCGACGTTGAGAACACACTATGAGAAGAAGCTAAAAGCTACCAAACTTTGAAGAGTTGTAACATGGAAGGTTTTTTATAAGATTAAATTTGGAAATACAGTTAACAATAAAGATTAGCGAAAAAACTGAGCAACGACGTTTCGGTGTCATCCTGGCACCATTTTCAAGTTAAAAAATATTTGTGCGAAAAGTAAACTAATTTATACCAATGGTAGAGGTGCGAAATTGAATAAATTAAGATTAAGATAGCTGTTCAATGTTCATGTTCATTCCAATGAGGTGTCAAACATTGGTAATGAGATCGCATCTAACGGTAAGCTACCATTTGTCGGCATTGAAATATGCAAGAAGGGCTGCAAGCTGGTAACAAGTGTTTACCGTAAACCCACAAACACTGGTCTCCTCTTACACCACCAAAGTCATGTCGACAACCGCTATAAAAGAT